ATTAATTAGTCACATTAAGTCTCAAGACTTTGGTTCTGATTGATTCAAAGACTCTGGAACATTGAATTGGATTTTGCCATCCTGTGTTATTATTTTATTTTATGTGGACTGTGTAGACAACTGCAAAAAAGGGGGAGATGTTATATCCCGTGCGACTTACACGAAGTCGTGGTTAGATGATATATATTTAGTGTGACTCACATGAAGTGTGTAGTAATAAAAACCATGTGCTTTTGGAGTGTTACACCATCCACATTTGAAGAAAACTTTGCTCGCAAACGAGCAGAAAAAGCAAAATATTTGTAACTTCACGAGCATAGGTTTTTCCTGCTTTTTTTTTTTGTTGTTGTTATAATGGATAAAATCAGGTAAGAAATTGATCTACAGAAAGAACAATGGGGGTCACTGGGCAACCATGAAAGCAGATTGCAGGCAAAGTTAGTGCACTCGGTCTCAAGCCCTATACTTGCGATGTTTCTTCCTTAGCATGCACTTAATGTATGACGTGGGGTGACCTTGTGACATGAATTTTGTGCGCAGAAAGGATGCACAGTAACAATGGCTGCAAATGTCCTTAACAACCAGGTCACAACTTAGTAATACACTGTATGCATATTTATATTTAATTTGAGACGACTAGTTTACCACAGCATGTACATCCATACATTAAGAGATGAATGGATTACATCACTGTACAAAACTGTACAAGTGGGTTTTGATTCATACTATAGGACGACTATTCATGCTTTTGTCAGGAGTTATATGGCATACTACCATCAGCAGTTGTATGTCATACCACCATCAATTGTATGGCATGCTACCATCAGCAGCTATATGGCATAAGTATAAAAGTAGAGTAATAATAAGTTACAGTAATGATATTTCCGAATTAACTTCTCACTTGAAATCTTGGTAAGGCTTGTTTTCCGTCCAGTTGGTGAGGGAGGACTTGGTTCATTCTGAACACTGAAAAATCCATTACAATATACAGAGCAGCAGCATTGGTACCTCCTTCCTCTAAAAACACATACAAGGTCATATAAGATCATGCTAAAACTTATATTGAACTATTTTAGCCCTAAGGTTCAATTGAAAATTTGCATTGCTGATCACCATATATGAACACTTCATTTATTACTTTAGCTGTTTTATCAGACCTTTCACTCCTTGGTTACAAATTTGAAAGGGGGAAAACAGGTGCATGACTTAAATATTTTCAACAGATTTTGCAAAGCAATATTTAATTTACTGGCTGAGCTTTAGTAATATATTATCAGGCTGACCATACAAGACTTGTACCAAGGCTGAAACAATTTTGAAGTTCTCTGACTGTTTTCTTTTTTCTGTGTCCACTGTAAACTTGAATTTCCTGTCAACATTATTTTACATTATAACATTTTTGCAGTTATGTGTTATCAAAAACATAATTTTATTATCATAGTACCAGTAATTGTAATTTATGGACTTTACCTCAAAAGACGATAGCCTCCAACTGCAACAAAAACAACTAGAATACCACAAAAAGCACCAAGAACAATGGGCACAACTTTTGATTTGGCGGTAGTAGTAGGCGTGGAGCTGGGTGTTGACTTGGTTGACCGGCAATCTGTTATTTAAACAGCACAGGTTTTTTTGTTTGTTTAAATGTTTTAAGTAATACAACATTATTAAAAACCAACAGCAATAAAGGTTTTATACTGCAGGAAAACACTATGACATGATTATTTTACACCGCAAATAAACTTTCTCCTCATGTAACAGTAACAGCATTCTTATATAAAGTCTACAAGTAAGTACAGTGTTACAGAAACAGTGGTGAGTGAATTCCATACAAAATGGTTATTCGCCTAAGAAGTTTAAGCTATACATTTCACTCCTCAGATTGTCTCACAAGTTTGATTTTTATTCAGATTACCTCACCTTTAACCTGGACAACTGTAGTTCCATTCCGTGCATTGGATATATTATTCTTAGGAAAGCAAATGTATTCGCCTTCAAGTGAACAGTTGGCTCGTTCGTATGTCAAGTTTGGACTGTTGCCTTGAAAATGAAATACAAACAAGTAAATCTAAAGGCTGTGCACCTCAAGGTAAAAGCTGAAAATAAGTTAGCTCATCTTGCTCAAAAGAAGTGCTCATACTTCACTAACAGAAACAACACATGTGTAACAAACTCTGTATATGTGTAACTAACAGCTAACCATAAGTCAATTCATTATTTCACAGCCTTGACTAGTTTGAAGAAATGTGACTTTCCTCACAACCAGTTTTCTATTACACCTCCTGCATCTGGTAGATTATATAAAAGAATTTCACAAGTATCCTCCTTAATGAAACACTTTGTTGTAATAATGATAAATAAAGCAAAAGAACAGTAATAGCAACACTGCAGGAATAGTGTTAGCTATGCTAAATAAATATAAATAAATAAATAATAAACAAATAGCCTGACACCTCACTTTTCTGAATAGATTTGTTCTTGAAAATCCAAACCACTTCAGAAACTGCTGGTACAGCATCAACTTCACAAGAGATGTTTATGAGCTCACCAGAACAGAATTCTGTGACATTGGTTAAAATTTTCCCCTCAGCACCATCTATTTTTCAAACAGATAAATGTTAAGTTTAAGTCATAATGAACAATAATTACATGTGTGATGCGCGAAGCGTTGCAGCATACTGATCGGCAAGTTTCAACATTTTGTGAACTATTCTCCTACATGTGCAAGAACCATTCAAAAAACTTGGACAAGCTTTAGACCCACCATTTTTTCATTAATTTACCCAGGCATTGGACAAATTTTAATGGGCAATAAGACACCAGGGAACAAATTGACCTGTGTAACTGTCATCTGATGTGCCCAGGACTTCAATCTACTAATAAAAACAACTACAGTACATCTACAGTGCTTTCAATGTTTACAAGAAACATCTACAGTCAAACTTTCTAGTACTGTCTTTGAAGGGGCGGAGCAATATGTCCATTTCAGAGAATTGTCCACATTATAGAGGTAAGTCCAACTGTAAAATGTAGATTTTATTAAGAAATAAAATGATGATGAAAATGATGATGTGGTAAGAGATACAAAATATCCATGACCTTATTGCAGAGACTCCACTGATGGTAAAAAACAAACCCAAGTACAACTTTAAGGTACATCCATATCCAAATTGTTAAATAGACATTTAACAGATGACATTGCATGTCATCCACAAAAAAGTAACAAAATTTATCAAGTGATCAAAAAACTAGAAATCTAGAGACCTGGGTGATTAATGGTGATAACATATGCATACTGGAAGTTTGATCTGAAAACAAACAAAATTGTATTGAAAACAAAATTATTACTGGTTTGTGAAGCACCAAGTGAAGAGGTTAAGTTTCCATAAATAAATTATTCTTATGCTTTCTGGGCCTGAGATCTAGTGTCTGTTGTCCATATTAGAAAACAGGGTTCTATGCAAGCCCCAGCAACCAGCAGAAATTGCTATCATGATGATACATAAATTAAAAGGCACAACTTGGACAAACTAGAAGTTGATTATTCTTAAAGGCATACAAATGCAATACATACATTGAACAGTGACATTATGCTGTTCAGATGAATTATTAGAGTCTTGACACTTGTAAGTTCCACTGTCATTGCGGGTGATGCCTTGTTTTGAGAAAATCTGACCATTGTGAAGAAACTCTTCTCTGCTTGTCCAATTTATGTTAGAACCATTCAAAGTGCAGTTCAGTGTAATATTACCACCCTCAGTTACTGCAATTCCTGCAAAATCAATGTAACCCATGTTTAGTTAAGTCAAGCATGACTGTACTTAAGTTGTATGTGCATGTAGCTTTGTAGCCCATGACATTTGTATGTCGTGCAGAAATAAATGTGGCAAAAGGTGCAGACACTATCTCACCCTCTCTCAACCATGGGAACATTTCTGGCCTCATTCGCATTCCCTGTACGTTGACTAATACAGCTCTTTGCCCTTCAAACAAGACATGCAAATTATTTTGACCAGCCACTATTTAATTGCGGTAAGTTAGCAGCCACTTTATTTTCTTTTCAGAGGAACTGTGACTGTCAACTAAATCTCCAAAAAATATTTCATTAAGAACAACTAGAAGGTGAACAATCAAAAGAGGAATTTGCCATAGTCACCGTAAAACAGAATACGCGGCTTATGCTGTTTGCTTTTTAAGTCTAAATGACAGTATCAACTTAAGGTGGCCGAATGAAAAAAAAGCAAAAGAAACTTCACTTACAGTATGCCAAGAAATGCACTGAAAAAGATAAGTATGATTTGTTTTTGGAGTCTCAAGTCTTACAGCCAAGAAAAAATGCTGAACGATTTGCATAAAGTCCCATTTCTTGACATGATAGAAGTGTTTGACGATGTTGATGACAAGCTTTATGCGTTTGAACAATTGTACTTGGACATTCTTGATGAACACACACCCGTAAAACAAACACACATCAGAGGAAACCAGGTGCCGTACATGACAGAAGATTGGCGCAAGGCAATTAGGCATTGCAACAAGTTGTGGAAATTATTCATGCGGGATTGCACAGATTGTAATTACGAGCTGTATAAACGGCAAAGAAACAAATGCACGTCTCTCAGATGGAAAGCGATAAAAGAGCACTTCAAAAAGAAATCGGAAAGTGAGCGTGAGAATCTCCGTGAATTCTGGGATACATATCGCCCCTTCTTAAACAGTAAAACTAAACAAGCAAATGACATAGTTCTTANAACAACAGGAACAAAATAGAAGCTCTTAACAATAGGATTCTGAGATTCATTCTCAGCGATTTTGAATCGCCTTATAATGTGCTGCTAGACAGGGTAAACTGTCTCCAACTTCATGAACAACGCATCTGTAAATTCCTTACTATTTTGTACAAAAGTCTATTTTTCACTAGCTATCCGGCCTATATGAGAAACATGTTCTCGTTCCATTCTACTTCATAAAACATGTGTGGAAACTATATACTGGAAATGCCCAAACCTAAAACTACAACTTTTGGTCCCCATTCCTTTACTTATCTGGCAACAAAAGAATGGAATTCTCTACCCAATTTTATAAGGTTATGTAACTTCTCAGACTTTAAAAAGCACATCAGTAAAGCCAATTCATGAAACATGTAAATGACAATTTTACAATTAGTTAATATAAGTCAATTGTAAATATGTAAATAGCAATTTCTATTTTAATTTTTCGTTATCAAATATTTTGTTCTCGGAAATATTAGCTTGTCAAGCTACTCTGAAATTCGAGCTTAAGTAAAGTTTATGTATGTATGTATGTATGTTCAAAACTTCCATAACACTTTTCATGACATGCCACTGCGCATCAGCCTTCATGTTCAAATTAATTATTCAGGCTAAAGCAAATGCTTTGTAATAAAAGAAAAAGAAAGGAATTTGAACAAAGACTAATTTTTCATTCAAGATGAAGCCAAGAAACACATTCATAAGCATAGGATTGTCCAAACTTTCAAAGACAAGTGTGGTTGTGTTGTACCCCTCCAGTGAACAAAGGAGCTCACCGAAATGGTCCGCAAGCCTTCGTCCAGTTTCTCCAACGTTTCTTCAGAAGAATTTTCTTGACTTCCTGGTTCTCTGGGTGGTAAGTAAGGACTTGGGGCCCTTTCTCAGAGCGTTCAGTCCTGTTATGTCATTCAGAGTTCCTGAGTGCTCTTTCACAGCTAATCCACTGGGCTCATTTTCGGCTGGTGGTAATGACACTGCAAGGATATCGTCTCCTCTCAAAGAATGATGCCATCTCTTTGGATTTGGTCACAAAGTCATTATCTTTAAAACAAATCCTTCGAAGATGGAGAAATTGACTGTATGGTATGGTGTTCTTGCAGTGAGGAGGATGGGACAAACTATAATCAAGGTAGCTGTTAGCCTGATTCTCAGAATCAAAATTCTACGTCGAAAGATATGACCTCATTTTCTAGTATTCTTCCGTGGTTGATCGTGTTCACAAAGTAAGAAGAGTTAGTGACTGTGTATTCCGATTTGCCTGTCAAAGGACACAGGATATCAGCTGAGTGAGCTGACAACTCGTAAGCAAATAGCTGTTACCGGTGATGGTATGTTTGGCTTGTGAATCTTAGGTTGACCATAAATCCTAGGTGGCTGTTTGTGCCTTGGTTTGATCTTGCTGTAGATGGTTTCTGACAGATGTCCACTTCGTTTTAAGTTAAATAGCTTATCAGTAAGTTTCCAGCCGAGTCAGTCTGTCGGGTCTTTATTAAGAAGTTGGTATGGACCTGTTTCAATAAGTGTTTTCATTTCCTCATGGTAGGTGTCAGTGTTTAAAACTACACTAGCACAACCTTTGTCAACAATCAACTATTCATTTCACCATGGAAATGAAGAGAGATAACATCACTCCCTTTCTTGACACATCAGTTACAAGAGACACAGACAGTCTTCTCACTACCACTGTATACAGGAAACCAACAGACACTCACCAATACGTAGCCTACAACTCACACCATCCTCAGTCAGTGAAACATGGTATTGTGAAATGCCTTTATAATCATGCTAAACACTTCATAATGAAGCCTTCAGCTATTGCGGAAGAAAAGAAACACTTGTCATCAGTATTTGTTTCTAATGGATACCCGTCCTCATTTGTACAGAAGCTCATGAAAACAACAAGAGCAACAGCTAACCAAGAAACCACACAGGAATTTAAATCAATTGCCATTTTACCCTATATCAAAGGTGTACTCAGAGGTTCTTTGCCGCTGCCTACAATAACAAGGCATATGCACTGTCTTTAAATCTGACACAACTCTAAGGTCCTACTTAGTGCAACCTAAAGACACCCTTGAACCAACAAAACAAGACAGTGTCATTTATAACATTCCTTGCGAATGTGGCAAAGTGTATATCAGAGAGCTATGCGAGAAAGGATAACACAACAGTTTATGTTTCATGTTAAATTTAAAAGCAGATACTGATTCAAAAGTTCTAAGATAACTATCCATTGAGTTCCAAATGCCAACTGTCCTTTGACCACCAGCAGTCTTGAAAAGCGGAATATTCAGCATCTGTGAACTTCTTGTGGTACACCTGCTCATTTCTCTTCGCTTTATGAATTGAGAGGAAAGGTACTGGTACTCTGATACACAGGATGGTACACATTTAAAGGCCATGACAGCATTTCTAAGGTATGACTGAGTTGCTACTGGTAGCCATTTAAGCTCTTTCGGGACTGGTGTGACATGATCATATTTGCGCGCTCTGGTCACAATTCGAGTTGCAAAGTTCTGAATACTTTGTAATTTACTCATGTCGTGCTTAAATGTGTTGGCCCATGCCTTCGAACAATAAAAAAGCTGACTAAAGACCAAAGCATTTACTATGGTTAATAGAGTCAGCGGATTCAATTATGAAAAGTCTAACAGGAAGTGAAAGAGCAAAGGAAGGAGCTAAAGAGCGAAGGATTGAATGAATCTCCCATGCATGCCTACAACTTGGATTTTCCAAGTTAAAAAATGAACTTTCTGTAGGTCAGTATATATCTTTAACAAGTAATACAAATCAGCTGGCTCTTAGTTTTGTAAGTGATCAAAAGCTCTACCTTTTAAGAGATGGTCTGAAAAGCACCTGCACATCTTTGTAATTAAAATTACTTTATAAAACAAAAATTATGGAATATAGTATCACCCAAAACATCTATAAGCAGCTTAACATTGCACTACTAGTGCTATACTTAGGCATGAAATAAACTCATTCCAGCCAGGTCAATGAAATATGTTGATTACGAAAATTAGCAATAAGGTAAGGGTTAGATGTAGAATTAAGAAGAATGTTTTTCCACAACAAATATAGTAATTAATATCAGTTCACTGCATGTGAGGTAAATAATAAGATCAAACACCGCAGTTTGATCACTGTTCTATTCAACCACAAGATAAGCTTAATATAAGTTGTTTCCTGACAATAAGATAATTTTTCAGCTACCTAAAAAGATTCACATTTGAACAAGAAGCTGCAATAGTAAGCTTACAATGTTTTTGTTGTTGTTGTTGTTTTACAAGAGAAAGCTGGCTGCTTTTCTATCTCCTATTCGTTTACAACATAATAGGCTTTTTAGAGTGATAAGCTTCCCCTATCTACGATTACTTACCTTCTACCATCTCAACGGCACGTTGCAACGAAATAATTTAGTTTACATCCGGTTAGAATCAATTTTAACGAGAGGCATTTTCTCAGAATTAAAGAAGCACCAAAGTTTTAAACACGAGTGTAATATTCACATATGCATTTCTGTAAACTACCTGGAAACACTATACGCGTTAAAGCAGAAACGTTTGCAATTTGTACACAGCATCCATAACATTGAGCTAACACTCTCAGCTGCTTCAGCTGTTTCGTGTTCCCTCAAAACAGGACTACTTAAACCTGAAAATAACTAACTTAATATTTCTCAATAGCAAAACAACTGCAAAATATCTCACCTAAGGAAGATGCCTCAAGGATGACCACAAAAACCCACAGAAGCGTACAAACATTTATGAAAGTCACAGAAATAACGTTGACAGCGCGAACGGCGCTGAATCCGTCTGACAGTTTTACACGACTCGCAGCCACAAGGCGTCCATGCATCTCTCTTGCTCTAGATATTGTTTCACAATATTATCGCACAAGCCATCCAGATAAATGGCTCAAAACAACAGCACACTGTGCCGCTTAGTTTGTTCGTTTAACTCGGTAAGTTCAACTACTTCCTTTAGTGCCTGCCGCCATAGTGCTCAACAAAGTCACGTGATATAACATACACAAATGGAAGGAAAATGAATAAAATGTAATAATTTAACAATAATGCAATAATATTATGACATAAATTTCTTAACACTCAGTTTATTATTTTTTTTACAAAAAATGCTCTTCAAAACGGTCTCTTAAAAATTATAGAAAATGGCATGTGTACTGTGTCCGTGGTTGTAAGTTTCAATTAAATCAGATGCCTTCTGGAGTTTGATGGTCCTGATTATGTACATTTTGTTTCAAATTGTGTCAGCTCAATGCTTTAAGCTTAAAAGAATCAGTTCTTTTCATGGATGATTTCTTTAACTACATAATAATTTGTCAAGTTAATTAGTTACTAAAGGTGATATTAGGAAGGGGCTTATTTGCTCCTCCCATGGAGTGCCGCCCTACTGACTCCTATCATTGGTTAGGAGAAAACTGGCTGCAGGTTTTCAGCATTCATTTTAGTTGGTAATCATCATTTTCAGTTACAGATCTGCACATCTGACTGGTTCTGTCATTGTTTACTCTTCACTGACAGACCACAATCAAGTGTTTCCTTTGCCTTTCAAAGTGAAAAATTTTTAAATTACTTAATTTTTGTCCCCCCCAAAATTAAAAATGTAGGTTTCTGGCTGCCATATTTCTTTATAGTCTGCTCCTTGACAATTCATATTTAGGAGACCTGCAGGTGTTTTTGAGTCTATCCTTCATAATTCTGAAAAATCCCAGGCAGGCAAGATATAAATGTAGCCCCATCTTGCCCAGTTGCTCAGGAAGCCAATCACAGCCTCGGATTCAGTTTGTCTTACCTGCTAATGGAGCTGTAGCCAAATAATAAACATATGTTATTTGCTGGCTGGGAAGTCAGTATAGTGAAAAATTATGGCCAGTTTCTCACTTCATGGACCAACTTTGAGCCGGCAAATTTCTCTCTCTCCCTCTTCCTCTCTCTCTCAAATCACTTTTATTAAAAAAAAAAATCGGAAACTTGTTACTGTGACCATGGGCAGAGATAGGAAAATCTGGACAATGCTATGAACCATTTAGATTGCAGGGTTGTCATCATGCCTCTTGGAAAAAATATAATTTGATATCCAGTTGTGAATCAGTAATTTTAATACATTTTAAAGAAAAAAATACATTACTTCAGTTCAAAATCTTCATCTAGTTAAGTCAATGTAAGAACATCACTCCTCACTCAGATAACATTATACATTTCTTCCTTCTATTTACATTTAATGGTCATTGTGGCACAAATGAATAATTTATAGCCATCTTTGTATTTGAACAACTTTTAACTGCTTTTTTAACAGTGAATTGCTTCAATTATTTAGTTCTCGTTACAAACAGAGAAAAACATACAGACATGAAATCTGCCTAGAATGCACTCTATACATAGTAAATGTAGTTCATTCTCATGACGTTTAGAAAAAAAAAACGTTTTGGTTGGCAGCTATTAAAATCTTACAAAAAAAAAAAAAACATATTTAATTTCTGGCCCCAAAATGGCCATAACTTCAAATCGCGTTGTAAAGGACTTCAACAAACACAGCATTTGGAGAGAACAACAGAGCTAATGTATGCAAAATATTGAACCGGAAAAGTTGAAATCATTCACCCAGAAATAGGTTATTAGGGATAAATGATTCATAAAAATTTAAAAGTATATGGCTGTGATTAACTAGTCGAAATAAGGAGTAGCTAGAAGAACACGCTAAAGAGAGTGGATAAAACATACGCTTACATACGCTTATCGTGTGCCCTGCAAGCCAATATAACCTTAAAAATTCACCTGAAAAGAATTACGAAAGATAAACAGGGATTTCTCTTTTCTCATCAACGACAGCAAACTCTTGAATTGAAGTTTTTTCTCGAAAACACGACATTCTGACAGTAAATTGGTAATAATATGACTAAATACATCATCAGAAAGGTCCTGAAAAATAGATTTAGAGATTATCGTCTTCAATTCGCTGATAGCCCGATCCGGGCCGCAAGCCATACTTCTTGCGAATTTCATCCCTCTTGACTTCTCTCTCGTTTCGTTTTTGAGCATGGATGGCCTGCATTTCTTCACGTTTACGCTTCAACTTCTTGTCTTCTTTATCCATTCGCTTTTTCTTACACTTGTTACACTGACGACAACAGCAGCAGTATATACAACACCCAAGAAACACCAAGAAGACGCCAACCACGGAAGGCACCAAAATGATGAGAACGTTCCCGGCTATTCGACATTGACCATAATACCATTTTCTGCTAGGGCAATCTCGAGGGACAATTTTCGTCCAGCCAGGATAATTGGTACATTTTTTAGTAGAAGAACACCAATAACACGCGGAATGTCCGGTGCAGTCGCTGCAAGATTTGTTGAAGCTCTGACAATCGACTTCCTCAGCAGCTGAAACTGGCAAGGTGAAATACACAACGAAGGCTGATACCAACAACGAAATAAACAAGCGCTGTTCAAAATTCATGACGATTGAAGATTGTTCAGTCTTGAATCGGGATATTCTGACTGTCTGTCCTTCTTCTGTCGTCTTTAAAGTCGCCTCCTTCGATTACTCCCAGTACTACACCGTCTTTTCAATGAAGTAAAGTGAAGTGATTTGTTCTTTTCAAACGCAAGTAATGTTTACTTTGACAAGAGAAATCCCGCGAATGAATGTTCAATTCTGAAAGACGAGGATGAACAGCGATTCCTTTAAAAGTTTCTTCGACGAGAATCGTACATATTACCACAAATCGGCGAATTCTTTCCGTCTGGAATTTTTCACAGCGCAGTGCGACAAGATCAAAAGTACAACCGACTTTTCGTGCGCACGAGCTACGTCACATAATTCAAAACACATTCTTCCCCCTGGAGGAGTGAGAAATAATAGAAATAATAACAACCAGTAAAACCCTTTGCAAGACAAAACATTATACAGCTACCTGCATTTTTGTGATAAATTACGATACCTGATAGCAGTGAGAACAGCACAACGGCATTTTTAAGGAGAAATAAGTGAAGCTTATATCCAGGAAAGACTTCCTTACTCTGGGTCCCTAAGTAGCTGTTTACGCTTGGGTTATCATGGAACGCGAATTACCACGAGATTGAAAGGAACAATACAAAAACTCGTTTTTCTCACAACGTGAAATTTGAAATTCAAATAAAGATGTTATGCCACCTATGATTGTTCATCCTATTCCTCAGACCCCTTTTTGTCCGAGTTCTTGACACCTATACATTTAAAGTGCGCGCTAGAAGCCTGCAAACCGGCTCCTGGTGGGGACGGAAAAAAAATTCTGCGAGCAAGCGCGCTAGGGATGTTTCAGTTATAGGGAACTACATGCGGAGTGTGCGCTAAGAGTGATTCAGTTAAGAGGGAGCTACATGAAGACTGCACGCAAGGGATGGTTCAGTTAGAGGGAGTTACAGGCACGATCCCTCGTCAAAAATAAATTTGTATTTTATCAGCGAAATTCGCAATTGTCTAAATTTGTTCAGTACCTCGATGGCTCTAAAAACGTGCTCCAGCCATATGCGCAATGACAGCGTTCAATTCTAAATGGAAACACGAAAAATAAGCCGTCGTCGTTTGCGTTCCTCAGACGACGTAGAACTTGGCCATTTCACGTTCTTGCTCTGCAGAGGAGAGGACGGCAAAGAAATGTACGAAATCTTGTAGCGCACGTGCACAGCTTTTGTTTTGCTCATTAAACCTTTTGTTTGGCGACGTTCTCGTTGCCGTCGTCGTCGTGGTTTGCCTAAGCTCCCAATTCAGTTAAAGGGAGGTACATTTAGAGTGCGCGCTAGATGTCATTCAGTTATAGGGAGGTGCATTTAGAGAGTGCGCTGGCCGCTGGGGATGGTTCAGTTAGAGGGAACTACACGCAGAATGTGCGCTAGGGGTCACTCAGTTATAGGGAGGTACATTTAGAGTGTGCGTTGGGGATGGTTCAGTTAGAGGGAACTACACAGAGTGCGCGCTAAGGGTCTCTCAGTTATAGGGAGGTACATTTATAGTGTGCGCTGGGGATGGTTCAGTTAGAGGGAGCTACACGCAGAGTGCGCGCTAGGGGTCTCTCAGTTATAAGGAGGTACATTTAGAGTGTGCTCTAGGGACGGCTCAGTTAGAGGGAGCTACATGCAGACTGCGCACTAGGGGTCGTTCAGTTATTGGAAGGTACGTTCAGCGTGTGCGCTAGGGATGGTTCAGTTAGAGGGAACTACATGCAGACTGCGCGCTAGGGATGGTTCAGTTAGAGGGAGCCACATGCAAAGTGCGCACTAGGGGTCGTTCAGTTAAAGGGAGGTACATTTAGAGTGTGCGCTGGGGACGGTTCAGTTGTAGGGAGCTACATGAGGAGTGCACAAGGGGTGGTTAAATTAGAGGGAGCTACAGGTAGAGTCCCCGCTAGGGTGGTTCAGTGCGTATATGGTCGCTACGCCCCTAACAAGGGAAGGAATAGTCAGACTGAGGGAGGGATTTTAAAAGAATATAGGAATAAGTAGGGGAAGGGCACTATCAGGGTCAGGGGGAGATAAATTAAAGAGACCATAGAAAATTAGGTGGAGGAGGCACCTGAATTGCAGAGATGGAGGCTATGATAAAGAAGGGAGCTATTCAAAGTGCTAGGGGCCTTACAGCACAAACGTTTCACACAATGCGATATCGATGTTTCTCTGTATTTCAAACCAGTATGCAAAATGACGTGACTCACTGCTGGCCAAGGATTGTATTTACTTTTTAAACAATTTTATCCATATATGAGATACCGGATTTGTTTCTAAGACTTCATGACGTTTGTGAAGCAAATAAAAATATAAGAATAGTGTTGTAATTCTGTTTATTGTCAAGGTACATTTTGCTCAGTTCCTGGTATAAATAAAACCTGCGGCGCTGGATGCTCATAAAAAGTAAACTCAAATACTCTTTTCCAGTGTACAATCAGTTCACAGCAAGCATCACAACTAATAATTGTACAAAATGTTTAAGACATATTTTACTATTGCCACTTTATAACTAGCCTCCGCCACAAATATTCGTTTCGCCTGAGTCACCCCAGGAAGCGGAGAATGCAAAGTAAATAAATTGTAACCGGTTCCTTTTCATTAAACCGAGAAGTTTGGAAGGCCAACATAAGGATGGGAGAAAAGTATTCGCATGCTACAACAAATGGCAACGGTAAAGCACATTTAGCCGTGAAATAAATACAAAGCAAACTCCTGGAGCTGGCTCCTTTCTTTTAAATTATAATTCTGAGACTAGGATAGTGTTACGCCCTTTTGCTCACAAAGTCAACTTCATATCTCTCCCTATCCTAAGTACATTTTATGTGATCTAAAGTCAAGATCAGCCCTGTTATTCTCATTAACTGGAATTATAAAACAGTGAAAAGAAAATAGAAACTGATCTCTACTGGGGGTTAAAGGTTCACTCAGTTCAGCAAACGAAAAAAAATCCCTGACTAATCAAATGGTTTTGGCTAATTCTTACATACACTGATTACTTTTACTATGTATTAATTGTAAGTGGACAAAACATTCAAGACTGTCTTCATGAGACTAAAAGAATTAAAGGATCAGATAAAAACTGGCAATATATTTGAAGCAAAAAATAAAAACTAAAACTGCAGAATTGTTGAGCAACAATTAGAAACAAGTCTTCATCCCAGCCATTGTGTTGGGAAAAACAGAATGTAGAATGAGATAATCCAGTCTTAAATACGATTTTCAATTCATCCAAATAACGACTGAAAACTATAACACAAAGGAAAGAGAACATTGTGCGGCCTCCGCTATTCACTCTCCTCATTAATTTTTATGGGCAAAAAGGTTGAAGCAACCTAATCAACTCCCCTGGCCAAATAATTGACTAGACTTATGCATTGAAGTCAAGACCCAATAGATGAACTCCACCCATGGGTTCCTTGATATTACCCTCAAAAGAAAGGACAAGAGGAGAATGCAGAGTGACGCTGCCAATAGAGTACGCCAGGACAAATCATGCCTCGATACTTTTGAGGGTAATGAGCATTTTTTGGCTTCTTAAGACAATTTGCATTATGTTAGTAACATAAGCAATGTGAAGCATTATTTGAATGTAAGGGAAAATATCAGAAATGTAATTATAACATACAAATTAGTGAGGAACGGAAAATAATCAATAGTGACCTTGCTATATAGGATGATACAGATTAAGTTCATAACTATATGAGCACAATGCAAACATACTATAGTAGCCTGAGCATAACTTTATGAGCACAATAATTATTCGTCCAAGCCTACTACGAATACAGAACTTATTTGTAAGATCAATTTCTTTTTTGGACTTCAATCCAATATTCTTCAACTAAAATACCAAAACAAGGAGATTCAAACGAAAAAACAGGCCAATAAAAAGAAAGTTAAAATTCTTAAATTCCATTTACACTTCCTCGATTAAGAGCTCAGGTGCTTAATTCTTGCCGCTGTGCATTTCATTTTTCAAAGATAAATCCAACCATACCTTTATACAATTGAACCTCTCTGATACGGACACCACAGGGACCGAGCAAAGTGTCCGTATTAAAGGGGTGTCTGTATTGGAGAGGTCACTATGATGACGTCACTTTGACGTCTCCACTGACAGAATCAGGCCCAAAAGTGATTCACTTGTGAATTTCTGAATCTAAATGATGAAATGTCAATGTTTGTATAACTGCTGACAGGAAATGGTACATACTACAAATTATCAACACCTAGTCCCTGGAGTGTCCATAATAAAGAGGTTAAATTGGTATGAATTTGCTCTCTAGGGCCGAGATTTAGTGTCTGTTGTCTGTTTTAGAGAGGGTCCATATTATAGAGGGTATTTTAGAGGAACTTTATGAGAATTTTGTCAGTACATATGAAGCTGTCCGTATTAGAGAGGTGTCCATATTAGAGAGGTGTCCGTATGGAGAGGTTCAACTGTACAAATACCATTTTGGCTGAAAAGCCCTTGACGAAAATCACATTTCCTTTCTACTTCTGAGCTGATCTGCTTTTTTTTTTTCAGGAAAAAGACAGGTTCTCAGTAAGTGTTTTGATGATTGAATGGTATTAATGAGACGAGGGGCACTTAATCGAGGAAATACATAACTCTGTTTGTCTTTCCAAACAATGTTTCACTGAAGGTACCTGTCAGACCTGTTTACATGTAACAAAATACAACTACATAAATGCAACTTATAACACTTTTTAAGTCTTCAAATGTGAATGCATGAACGTGATTTGTGAAACAAAACACATATTACCCTGGAATGTGCTCTTTTAGCAGCTTAAATGTACACAATTGAAATGTAAGTCTGGTATATCAACTGGTTACCTTTTGCGTACAGTATTTTGTGAAAATACCGCTAAACTATCAGGAAAAGAGCAGAAAATACATAGCTCTAGTCAAGCTCTAAAATTAAATAGTTGCTATAAGTACCTTGACAGATAAATAATCATCATAAATAGTAAGCTAAATTTTCTCCTTAGCTTACCGCAAACATGCATTTCTTTGTTCTTGTCTGTAAATACAGACCTAGCTGACCTAACCCCTGTCTCAACTAGTGGTAGTCTGAAGTCAGGTAGCAAAGTTCACAATGTGGAGGAACCTGTGCAGGAACTCACATAAAGACTTCACATATATTATTGCCTCTACCAAACAATTTTTCAGTTGAGACCACCACAAAGCAATTTAAATTTCAAGTCCTCTATACAAATGCAATCATCACATCCATATCTTTACAGCTTGAAATACCTGAAATGTTTTAAGACACTAACCTTTGGCCATCTGGAATTATGGTAATAAATAAGCTTGCCTTTAAGGCTAAACGTCAAAGGTATTTTTGGCCACCCTTGATCCATAGCAATATACTTTGACTCTCCTATAGCATGGGTATCCGGGGGGCTTTCTTCTGCTGCAGCAAACTTGTAGTGCAAAAAAAGGCAAAGGCTGCGGGGACCCCTCTCCATTCTCCCTGAGGTTTTGCCACTATTATTTTCTCAAATTTGCCACCACATAAATAAACTTCCAGCTATGCAAGCTAATTCTCAGAGCCATTTCCAGTTCAGTATTTGTCCATAGTTTCCCCACTGTAAAGCAGGATAATCCCAGTGGACTTTCGATATCTTTATTCTTGAACATCCCAATATGGCGCAGACCCACTACAAAATGATATTGAGTACCTCTTAAATCCACAACAGGTCTTCAATCCTTGCATTCTTGTGCTCTCCACATGACACAGTACTTTGCTTTCACGTCTCCTATAGCCACACTGCACCCCACATACAAGATATTTGTCCATTAAAGGACCAGTTCAATCTTCACACCAGCCTGTTATGGCTGTGCGATGCCATGCTACAATGACATAGTCATTTTCATTCACATCTCTGAACTCGCATGGACCAGGTAATCACCTCTCTGTACTTTTGAATACTCCTTCTATCCACTGGTTTTGTAGAAAATATGTCTAATTGAACTCTTGGATAAGTAATTTTTGACGACCATGCGCCATATACACAAAACTGTGCACTGCACATTCTGGTTTTAAATAAGACTTGGAATTTGGTAAAAACTTCACCAAAAGTTTCCATACGAAAAAGATGGATAGTTTGTTCAAAGCTGCATCTGAAATGTTGTGGCATTCAAACACCACTCTGCAAAAACTATTTAAATACCAAGTATTGCAGCTGTATTAAATATGTACTTGTATTTCAAATTTCAGAAATTTTTTCAAATAATATTTTGTAATAATTTGAAATCTCTTGGAAAGTTAATAGCCACAACTGGAGCTAAATTTCATGATCTGAATCAACAATGAACTTGATGTTGGCACTTGCTGGCAACTTTCACCCTATGAGCAAACTCACTCACTTTGTTCTAAAACAGCTTGATTTTAAATTACTGTGTGAGACCCCCGCCGGTTATTACAATTTTCATATCTGCGATTGGGAGCTCCGTCATGAATATTATTTGGGACTGCCACAGTTTCAAAATCTGGGAGGGTCACAATAGCTGATGTGGTGACATTATTAGGTTGTTTGTCATTGTGTGGCTTAGAGTTAACTTTGTGCTTGCTTTTCACGTCATTCATTGCCATGTAATCAGTTAAAAATGCATTCTCAAGTTGATGTGCAGGTTCAGAGAATGATCTTGTTCGCTTCATGCATTTCCCTGCATAACTGTTTCGGTTGTAACAAGCATTGTCACACACTGCCGCTAATGAAACAGATGAGGAGATTGGTGAACCAGATGGAGTACAAATTGGAGTAGACAGCTTGGGAGTTTTGCGTACAGGTTCTCCTTTATATGAGTACTCCATTTCTACAAACTGCCGTGCCTGGTGAATGTCAAGCAAGATAAAGATAGTGAGTTCTACCTGCAACATAAGCATCACAGAATTTTTGTTCCACTGGTAGTAGCTTTTAGGCCACTGCTTGCTCTCAAACTCTAGCCAGGGCTAAAACCCTAGGCACCTAGATCTGGAGCCAAACTCACTAACCCTTAGGAGACCATGTCTTCTGTTGAAATTTATGCTTCTGATATTAAAGAATAGTTCTTAAAGTCATCCTCCAGAAGATATAAAATTCTGTGGTGCTAGCAAACGTTTAAAGCACTGGCTCTGAAACACAGCACATTTGCCATTCCCATAGAAGTGAAGGTGAGGAGATCATGCATTAAATAGTATCCAGTGTGTATACCCAGCCCAGCTCGATTAGGCGTAGAAATTTTCGTAGATCTCTATGACTCTATGGTAGTATTTTGAATGTTTAAGCTCTGTTTCTCTTGGATATGCATACACCATGGAGGTGTAATGGCATATAGTTATTGTAGCAAATGTTATACCGCTTAAGAAATGTTGAGTGTTATTACAGATTGCATTTTTTTAATTGTTTTCAATTTAAAATTCTGTATTGAGTTTACCCTGACTTCACTCTACGCTCTATGCTATATGTTCTTCCGTCTACGGTCAAAGTGTTATGCTCTTAAAGCTCATATACTCCATGTTCCACCATCTACGCTCTACGCTCTTCATGTTTATGAGTTTATCAGTTCAAGAATTTTTGACTACTCTCTACACTAGCTTAGAGGCTTAAGAAAACAGTAGAGTGACAAAAAATATTTGGTTGCGAGTGCAAGTTTCTCGCTCATCTGCGATGCTCTAATTTTTGCAATTGTAATTTATTGGCTTTCTTTATTATCTCATATATATATTAAAGTGTTATTACCATCTACAGTATTTTAATAATCTCTTTAATTTACAATTCTGTGCTGAGTTTACCCTCTACACTCTACGCTATATGTTCTACAGTCTACAGTCTACATTCTACTCTCTACGTTCTACCGGCTACTCGCTCCATGCTCTACAATCTTTGATCTACCCTCCAAGTCCATCTACACTCTACTCTACATTCCACCAGCTACTCTCTTTTATCTCCACTCTCCGATCTTACCATCTACCCTCAAAGCCCATCTACGCTCTCCTCTCTATGTTCTACCAGCTTCTCTCTTTGATCTACATTCTACCCTCTAAGCCCATCTGCTTGGAAGGTTATTGGAACTTTTTAAATTTTTTTTTAAATTTTGTAAATTTTGTAATTTTTTAACGAAGACTAGTGAGCAGCACAAAGGAAGACTTCTTGTAGTTGTAAGATTTTTCATTTATTTCCGACACGTTTCATCTGTCTGAGACTTCTTACAACTAACATTGAACAGCATATATAGCACATCACCATGCTGAAGTTTAATTTCCTATGGAAGTGAATAAATGCTGAAACATGCTGTAAACGGATGTTACAAGAAATGCCTAATGCATATGTTATTGCGTGTTGTTATATTTTGGGGGCCATACGATTAGCGCTAATCGTATGGCCCCCCCAAAACATACTATTTACATAGATGTGCTAAAGTAGCAGTCTGGTAAATGTCTCTGGATAACCAGCTTGATGTTAGTGGTTCTGAGTCAAACCATTTATTCGAACTTGAAATGAACATTCTCCACGACAAATTACGACCCCAAAAATGAGCAAACAACATGTCCACATGGTTGCAAAACATCCACTAAGCGTGCAAAGTCATGTGACCTAAGTATTCGCACTTTTTGAGTACACTATAACAAAATGTCCTCCACATCACTTAGCATGACTACAGTTAAATGTAGATTTAAAGACTACTATTCTACCATTGCGCGATTTACGTTTTAGCGAAAGTTATTTAGTTCTGTTACTGTATTTAACTTCCCTAAATAAAGGAAGTAAAAACCCAACTGGGTAACNGGGGCCATATGGTTAGTGCTAATCATATAGCCCCCAAAATATAACAACACGCAATAATATGTGCATTGGGGCATTTCTTGTAACGTCCATTTACAGCATGTTTCAGCAGTTATTCACTTCCATGGGAAGTTAGACTTTGGCACGCGTAAATAATTCCCTGAAGAAGTCTCAGATAGAGACGAAGCGCGTCAGAAATAAACGAAAAAAAGCTTAAAACTACATGAAGTCTTCCCTTGTGCTGCTCACTAGTCTTTGTTAAAAAAATAAAAAATTGAAAAAAAATTAAAAAATTAAAAAATTCCAATAACCTTCCAAGCAGATGGGCTTAGAGGGTACATTGTAGAGCATAGAGCATAGCTTGAAGAGAGTAGCTGGTAAAACATAGAGAGTAGAGCATAGATGGGCTTAGAGGGTAGATGGTAGATCGTAGAGTGTAGAGCAAGTAGCTGGTAGAACGTAAAGAGTAGAGCGTAGATGGGCTTAGAGGGTAGATGGTAGATCGTAAAGCCTAGAGCATAGATCAAAGAGAGTAGCTTGTAGAACATAGAGCGTAGATGGACTTAGAGGGTAGATGGTAGATCATAGAATATAGAGCGTTGATTGAAGACGGTAGCTGGTAGAATGTAGAGAGTAGCATGTAGATGGTAGAACATATAACATAGAGCATAGAGGGTAAACTCAATACAGAATTGTACACTTAAAAGATTATTAAAATACCGTAAACTGTAATAACAATAAACATTCCCCATGTGCTTTGATATTTGCTACAATAGCTGTAAGCCTCTACGCCCATACATAGAACCGTAGAGCATAGATGGTAGAGAGTAAACTCAATACAGAATTTTAAATTGAAAACGATTAAAACATACGTATATAAAGGAATTTGTGCATAAGAATATGCTACAAATTGCAATCAAATGTTATCAAATAGGCAGGTAACCATAGTAACAATACACAACTATGGTAAAAGCTATGAAGTAGGAGGCAATGTATCTTTCCAACATGTAGGAGGAGACTAGTGATGAAAACGTAGAGTCGTAGAGCTCTACAAAAATTTCTACGCCAAATCAGGCTTCATAAAATGGCGCCAGTTGCCAGTGTGAGCTTGGTCTTTAAATTCCCTCACAGCCATTGATCTTCAGCAATGATATGGGTAACAGGCTAATGCGAGACTTGTTATATCAAATGACATACCGTAGCCTTTTCCAAGCACTGAAGTAGATGAGTATGCTGTTCATCAAGATAATTTTTCTCTTTATTACTCACTGGAATTTGTGTCAACTCCAAGCCAGCACCCTAAACAAAATGACCCATAGATCAACAGTAGATCAACAAAACCTCCCTGAACTTGTTTTCACAAGAACTACATAGACATCTGCTTACACACCACTTATCCTTGGAAGTCTATTCACTAACATCACAACTGAATTGTCCTATCCCAATATAAGTACTTCACTGAAAGTACTGGTTCAACAAACAATGACTCAGTGAGTAGTTTGCCAACCTAGGAGGAGCTATTGGGAATTTTTACAGTTTGTACAAAAGGGTAAATCTTGTTGCAACCAAAGCAACAGAGACCAAAGCAGCGTTGTCCCTAACAGCTGGCAGCCAGCAGAATTAACCAGATACATTTTTGAAAGAAAAAAAATTAAGAGAAATAAGTTAACTTAGTTTTTCACTTGTAGTAAATACACTAATGGAATTAATTTTCTCATATAAACATAATCTGGTTGCTGATACATTTACAAAATAAAATTTAAGCAGCAATATTGTGTTTACTGCAAAATCACCATGTCATTGAAATAAATTCTCTTCATATCTGGAACCCAAACCAATCCTTTTTAGCACATGTTTTCTGCTACGCATTACATGCAAGGCTGAACACACACACTTTTTTTTTTTGGGGGGGGGGTACCAGGAGCGGAAACAAAAATGAAAATAGGACAACTGAAAACCACTTGAGCAAGACTAATTTTTGCAGAATAAATAAAAAAGATACAGTCACTGAAATAATCAAAATTTTGCCCCAAGAATCTAGGGAATGCCATTTCTGAGAACCTACAATTTCACAATTTCCTGGCAGGTATGCCCCTGGATCCACTAGGGTGGAGCACCTTTGGCACTCAGTGGTCACTCACCGGCTACTTTCCAAATTTTCCCGCCTACTACATATCTTACAGACAACACTGCAATGAGTTTAAAATATGTATATGAAGGCACCCAGTAGCTTGGTCACCCCAGAAGTATTTACTTTGTCTTAACCTTATGTTGGCTTTTGCTACACTGTACATGTATATTACACTCAATATATATTTAATGTGCAACTGACACTATTCTAGATAAACCATTCCAAAAGCATAATAATTCATTCCTCCTGAAAACACTGCTCTCAGCTGTTTCACTAACCAGGGGAACATTCTCCTTATCAGGGGGGGAAACCAAAGCTGTTCCAGCCATCGTCTTTGAAATGGACACTCTTGCTTTCTGAAAGTGAAGAAAAGGAAACTATCTTGAAGTGATACCTTAAAGAAAACAATAACCCTATCCTTCTTATTTTATACTGAAGGGCCTCATTGTTTAAAATGATATTAAAAGAAATTAATCAAATTAACCTTGGGTTAGTGCTAAGCTGGAGGTTAAATTTCTTAACCATAAGTTTGTTAACTTGGGGCAAAATTGTAATGTTCAAGGCAGGACATGTGGGTTGGTTAATTTAGCATCCTGCAATACTCTGTTAGTTTGGAAAACTCAAGTGGCTCCACTTGAACTGAATTAAGCAAGCATGTAGTCAAGAAACCACAACTTTAGAACATCAAATCATACTGTTTGAGAAGGTTGATCAGGGAGAAGTTGCATATTCTTCAAGGCAAGTTAACCAATAGTACTTCAAAGCCAAAAAAAAAAACAAAGCCTGGCACCAAACATTTGGAACATCAGTCTTCCAAACTGTTTCAAGTAGTTCTTTGTCCAAGTAATCATTGTTTATGATGGAATTTTGAGGAAGGTGACATTTTTCTTGCCTTTGCTATACACTGAAAAATAACCTTGCCATTTTACTTTAACTTCCCTTCACTTTACTAGAGGTTAGACAGTTACTGGTAACCAACTCTGCTAAGTGGTTAAACTTTAACCTGCTGGTTTACCCAATGTTAGCTGTAACCTAGCATTGAAAAATACTCAATTTTACTTCACTTTACTTTTTACCATGACCCCTGGGGGTAATGGGCCAAGAATAAATGTACATCATTGTTGTCCTCATCATCATAATAATAATCATCATTATCATTTTATTTAATTGCCACGCAATAAAAAGAAGCTTATATTACATTGTATACATGTATATATAGATATATTAACTCTTCATTACATTTAGTCTTACTAATGTTTATGACTAACCCTCTTTGAACAACTGGACCCAAATGCATTAACGGTGAAATACATGTTCAGCAAATTTGATAAAATTTCTCCTCCACACTTATGGCTCTGGTACTGTGTTACAATGTAAAGGTAAATGCCAAAGAAAACTAAGAATATTTCATTGTCTTTTCTTTCCTTTGAAAAAATATATCAGTGGGGCAAATGTAGGCCTACTGCTATGGTGGTGGGCATTGATTCAAATAAAGGGATGTCTGAATGTTATTTGAGCAGTATCTCAGTACATTGACTAATATTACACGCACTAGCCAAGTAGATAAATAATGATTCAGACTACCAGACATATAAATATCCCCAAGAATTATTTTGCAGCATACCTTGTGAGCTTTCCTTTTATCTGCTCTCTGGTTTTGCAAATATATTCGACTAAAATTAGATACAATGACAGGCACTGGTAAAGCTATCACAAGGACACCACTGAGAGAACACAAGCTACCCACAATCTTTCCAGGGGTTGTTTGTGGTACCATGTCACCATATCTGAAAACAGAAAATAAACAAAAATATTTGCACACAGTTTGGTGCAGTGCAGAGGAGTAAGAGTACCTCCAGCCTCTCAATGGCACATTTATCTTCAGCATTTGAATAATACACATATACTTCTCATTTTAATCTGATCTTTCTGACAAAATACATGAACAGGTGAAAGAGTCAGACTATGCCGTGTTTTATACAGTTGCCTCCAACAAAATCATGTGTGTACTAGAAATGCAGCAGAATGCACCTGAATGCACATAGATTTTCAACATTTTCAGAATCAGCAACCCACCCCAGCCCCATGCAGGAGAAGGTAACCAACTCCAGCATTCTGCCACACTTGTCTGCCTTGATCACGAGCAAGTATTGCCCCACCTACTTTACAATTTTCTCCAGCTTCTTTATTTCAATTTGAAATTTCATACCAAAGTTAAACTACATGTAGAGCAAAAAAACACAGAGAAATTTCAATTTTCATCAGTGTATGTCTACAATGATATAGGTGCTGCTCAAAGACATTTAAAACTCTACTAACTAAAGATGTTTGTTGCCAAAACAGTGGAAAAATGACTAAACTTTCACCACCAACATAAAGAAAGAAGGTGTGGTTTATCTGCAAGGTTTCCAGATAACTTGAATATTCAACTACACAGGAGTCCTACTTCAGACTTTAAAGAAAACTAAAGTCAAAGAATTGAGAAACTAGAGCCACTAGCCTGAATTTCAAAATGCAACTACGGCTTGTTTACTACATGTATTTGATTGCTCCTTTTTAACATGTTAGGAAATAAAACTTTTCAGCTTGGATTTTTGCAAGGACATGTGTTACATCTTCCCCAGTGGTTTTCAGCCTGGCAGACTTTTAGAAAAAGGTTGGGAAAAGTGCCATAATAAATAAACTTCAGGATATTGATCTTATTGATTCCTGTGGCTCCCATTTGTTCCTTAACTTTTACACACATCTGAGCATCCACAACAAGAGGGGAAAAGTTCATGAGAAATATAGTCGGTATCATGTAACAAGTTTTCTAAAGAGCTAGGAGATATTTGGATGTTTATGAGATGTTTATTTAAGTAATTTTCGCAGACGTACCTAGCCTGCAAGACAGAGTTTCCCTTCTCTTTCTGCTTGGTGAGAGATAGGAGAGAACCTCTGCTCACAACTGCTGGATCATTTGATCAGCTGCCATCCACAACCAGGGACGAACAAATTAGAAATAAAGGTTTGACAAGTTTTAGCCAGTTTATGACTTACACATGACTGATAGGGTTCAAAACACTGTTCGTTTGAGAGACTGCAGACAATATCCGCTGCCCTGTGATTGGCTACCAAGTTTCAATTAGCCAAGATCCACTGCCATGAGTTCATAACCTATGCTTCACATTCAGAATTTTGTCCAATGAATAACTGACAATCTCTGTTTGCACAGTTTCAGAAACTATTGCTGTACATTATTTCACCTTACATGCCATTCACTATCAAAGGAGCATGATATGAGGGTCCACAGGCAGGCTACTAAGCTTAACACTTCGATCATTTCAAACCAGTTTGTTTGTCTGCAGCTAAGCTTGTGGTTTGCAGAACAGCGTGACCTTGAACAAAGCCAATTTTTGTTTAATTTGTCTGTTTCTTCGTCGCTCCGTTCTTCATACCACTTACCAAAATTTCTGTAGTTTCTCTAATGTATAAACAGTGGTAAGGTTGGAATTCAAGAAATTCACCACAATTGAACCAAAAATAACATAAACTTGATTGCCTAGAAACGTTTTACATGACAAAGGTTCCCTCTCGTCTCTCACCAAGCAGAAAGAGAAGGGAATCTCTGTCTTGCAAGTTAAGAGATACCAAAAAAGCTTAAGGTAGCTGAATACAGTTTGTGGTTCTTGTGCCTCATTTATGATTTTTCTAAAATCAAGCTTTAATTCTTGGATCCCAAAACGGGGAAGATGCATGCTAAAAGCACAGACTTCAATGTTGTGATAGTTTGATGTATGCAGACAGTCTGTTGTGTGTTAAGATCATTGAACATCAAGCAGACAATAGTTACAACAGCAGCCAATATCACAGCCTTATTGGACAAAGACAAAGATAACAAAACCAGCTAATTCTCAAATATTGATATTTGTTCTGTTTTTGAACATGACTTGTCCTCACAATCAGTTACAGTTATTCTAGTAATTTTAAGGCCAAATGAAATTAATTCATAATCATTCTGTGTGTACAAGTAATATCAAATAATATCAAGCAATATATTTTGGTTATGTATCTAGTTAGTTGTAATAACATACAGTGTCACAAATTAAAGAAACAAATAAAATCTCTGACTAGCAAAATCCTAGTCCCTTGATACACATATAACAACATCCTAAATTAAAAGAAATCAAAACCACTCATGTTTATATTCAGGGCTCAAAAAAGTGCCATCCAGTCATCCAGGACAATTAGGTTTTCCTGCTGGAATTATCTTTTCATTTTCAGTTGTGCGATGGGGACAAGGGCCCAAGCAAGGTGTCTGTCAACTTAATTACAAAAAGTAAACTAAGACTTGCCCAGAGCAAGCAAAATTTGAGAGCTGCTTCTCCAATGAGCAAGCTGAAATTCATTTTTTTCTTTATTTTTTTTCAAGCCCTGTATGTTTGATTTGAGATGAGATCATCGAAAATATTTGACATAATAAAATTGATAAACACCATATCATTTTATTAGAATATCGCAGGTCACATGAAAATATGGCAATAATTTCTCACAAACCCTGAGCATAACAAATACCCCTTATGACTCTAAAGGAAACTAAACGTTTCATTTAGGCTATACCATGAAGTAACTTGTATGCAGTATATTCTTCTTCACAGTTTAAGCATTTATGGAAAATTTGACTGGATTTCACAATACCGGTACACAGTGTAGGCACCTTGATATTCAATTTAGCACAAATCACACATTTACATAATAAATTAGTACTACAGGAGAGTTTTAACATTTCTTGGATTAACAGAAAGCCAAACAAGTATGACTTGCATACCCATATTTTCAGTATGTTTGGAACAGTTACAAAAAAATTGATGATCACCACAGTGTTTTAACAAATAAATTGATTGATAAAATGGGTTGAGTCTTTCAATATAAATATAATTATTTTACAGACTATCTAAAATATATGGTTACTTGGCCAAGAAAAACAAGTTCGTAAGGAATCAACATAAGAAATTATTATTTTTCCCAAGGAGTGATGCCACTTCCTTCAGCATATATTTTCCAAAGTAAACACAAGAGACAGCAAAATATCTCACTTTTTCAACATGGCAATAATGAAAAACTCTCGAAAATATAAAATATTCATAAAGATGAATTGTCCACTGCTGCATATCAAATGAGTTAAAAAAACAGTCAAAGGGATCAGTAAAGCTGGAAAATGCAAAATTATGTACAAAGTCGAATTTAATGCCACACAGTACTGATAAGTATAGGACACTGTAGTAACCATTTAAGCATGTTTGTGCTGTCTCGGTGATGGTGACTAAAAAGGCCCTAATTACACAAATTTCCTATATCTTTGTGGTATAAAACTAACACACTCTACTGACTCTTAACAGGAGGATAATTACTGAGTAGAAGACTGTTTGATATTATATCTTTAATATCTGACCCAACGGAACCATTTTCCTGAAATTTCTCATTTAAAGCAAATGCCCTTTTGTTAATAGTTTTTTGTTTACTAGCTATCAACTGGATAAACCAGAACAATTCCTCATTGAACTGTACATTTTCATTTTTAAAGTCTAAACAAATTCCACCAGCTGCTGAATTTCTCCTGGTAAATTTTCTTTCAATTCCTTATTAATTTACCACACACAGAGAGAGCATCTTATCATCCTTGTACATTTATGCCACAAGCACTCTGTACACAAAACAGCCACATTTGCACTTGGTTCAGAGCTAAACTCACATCCAACCCATCACAGGAAGCAAGACCACCAGCAGTTAGGAACTGTGAGAGGGTAAAAACTGAATTTTCAAAGGCAAAACAGGAAAAAAATGCCATTAGCTGTCTTCTTTCATGGGACAGCATTCACAAGTTCCAAATGCCAATCGAACTGTAAATTGTTCCTTTGTCAAATTATGTGGGCCAAAAACATAATCATTTCTTGCAAACTCCATCTTGATTCTAAGTGTAAATAGGGACCTCTAAATTACCTAGGTAGCATTCAGCCAAGTAGAGAGACATTAAACATGCATAATATATATCTTTTTCAACCAAATGATCATGCTTTAAATACATGTAGTTGACTTTACATTTGGCCAGAAAAGACTTATCATTCCAAGTTGAGTTTGAAAAGTTGCACTTAATACATTATCACAGTTAAACCTAAACTCGACTCATTAAGCCGACTTATCTGCAGCTTATCTCAAAGACCACAAACAAAACAAGCCATGGCGCTACTAGCTTCGAAAGTTGTAGTGATTCTCATTCACCAGCATTTCACATGAACCTGTAATAGACATTTTCTATTAAATAACCGGCAAATTAAATGCGAAGTTTAAGAAATGTTAGCCAATATTTATTTTTTTAATTCAAGCAATTTTCCTCTCTCTGTCCCCCCCCCCCCAAAAAAAAAAATTGGCGACGTATAAGACCAGCTTGTGACACTAAAACGGAGAAAACTGATGTTGTACCATTTGTTTGAGCTCGCACGTTCATCAATAAGATATGGTTGAAAACAACACGAAGTAAACATAAACACATTCACATCAAAATATTTTTGTTTTACAGTCAAATTAAGCCTCGTTCGTATTTGAAAGCTAGGGTATCGCCAAAAGCATGATTACAGCCGGATCGATTCGAGGCCTGGAAGCCGATAAATTACCCGGCCTGTTGTCTTAACACTTCATAGGACTAATCTGTAACAACTGTCATAAGCTGCTTGATAACTGCACTTCGATAAACTTCCTGATGTGTCAGATAGCAGAAAAAATACCGGAAACGTCCTCTAGACTACACTAGTTACAAACTGAGAATGTCACAAAAGAATTCTCTACACGTACATAACAAAAAAATGTTCTCAACAAACTTGCATGTAATTTGTTCAAGGATTATCTATGTCAACATAACAGTAGAATTGTACTTACCCTAATGTGGTCATTGTGACAATCGTGTACCAGAAACTCGCTGGAATACTCGTGAAATTCGTGTCTTTCTCTCCTTTTTCCACATAGTACATAACAGTGGCGAAAATTATCACCGCCATTGACAGGGAGAACAACAGAAAGCCGAGTTCTGAGGCGCAACTCTTCAGTGTATACCCCAGGATTCGAAGCCCTCTTGAGTGTCTTGAAAATTTGAATATTCTGAAGATCCTAAATACTCTCAGGGTCACAAATGCGCCACTTATAGAATTATCTGGCATAAAGAGTCCAACATAGTAAGGTAATATAGCTACCACATCTATTATGCTCATTAGATCTCGAGCGAACTTGAAGCGGTTAGGAGCTGCGTACAAGCGCGCTATGTACTCAACAGTAAATACTATGACACAAGCTGTTTCCATCGAGAAGAAGGTCTGTTTATTGACGTCGCCAAACGTTCCTCCTTCTGTTGGAAGTGTTTCCACCACAGTGCTGATCACACTAACAGCAATAAAGAAACCAGTGATGTAATATGCCAAAGTAGCAAGCCGCGAGCTTTGCGGATTTTGAAAAGCAGTCCACATCTTCTCGCGAATTGTCGAATCTGTGTTTTCCTCGCCATTCTGAGAACCATCTTCCAGTTTATCAGGTTCAAAAATTCGTTCTTCGCATTCTTTCTTCCTTTCGCGAAAATCTTCCCAACAACAATCGTGCACCACATCTTCAGATATACCGAAAAAGCAAAGTTCGTCTTCAAAGGAAGACACGCATTCTCCCCGCGGGTAGTGCAGCTTTCCATTGCGATAATAATTCAAGACATGGCGGAATAAGTCTGGATCTCGATCAAAGAAGTATTCTTTTGTTTCCGAATCGAAAAAATAGTCCTTTTCGTCACTTCCAAGTAGAGTTTCCGGGAATCGCGCCAATGTATTTTGCCATGTTTCAAACCGCCTCCCACTAACATTGATGGTGACTCGCTCGTCGTTTTTTTGTGATTCTGGCGGAGGTGGCATCGGAGACGTTGCTAAAGGAACCCATCCGACAGCGGCCGCCCTCGCAAACGGCAGCCATGCTCCTACATCGGTGGCCATGATTGATTACGACGGCCTTACATCGAAGGAAGTGATCCAAGCTCACTTGTAAGTCGCGCATCTACTCCGAGCTTGAGAGACAGGTGTAAAAGGTTGTCGCTCTGCTGACAAACAACCAGTTTAATTTATGCCAGCGCATCCACGGATCGATTGAGACATCGATATGTTTGTACCATTTGTTCGAGCGCTGCCTCCTCGATTATCCACCCGGGACGCGCTTTACTGACGGATGAAAGATAATTTCGATCAAACGTTTGATTTCTTCGATGCTTCGAAATGTAGAAACAAATCGCCTTTGAAATCAATCAAATGTTTCAGAGCTCCGGGCACAAATTGGTGTCGAGTATTGAGAACCAAGGACCATGAAATTACTCTTAATCCACAGCTTTTGTTCAAGAGTGAAATACATAGAGCATTAAATTGAAACAGCTTTAGCGTTCCCAGCTTCGGTATTCTTTTTACCTTAGTCTTAAAAAGACAAAGCAAAACACGCTTAAAGCGACGTTTTTCATTACAAACTGATTGATGCAATGCTAAATTCTTCTTATGGCTTTCGCATGAGGGAAACCTAATTGCAAAGGATATTGTTAATTAGCATTGGATTAAACAAATTTAAACTCAGTAGCCAATGAATTTCGAGAAAGATGACTGTTTGATTGATAGTTTATCAAACACCAACAGGGCATCTATTGTTCGCCTGTCATGCCTTCGCGCCAAATTTGCAAACGGTGCAAGCGAAAAATAATATTCCTTCTTTTTTTTACTTCGTTACGTGAGTCTTTTCCCGTAAAAAAAATGTTTGTCATCATTTTAAATATACCCAAGAAATTTGTTGGGTAATCTTTATAGGGAATTCGTAAATGGTAAGAAATAAATGAACGCTTTTGAGTTGTTTGGGTTCATTTTCGCCTTGGAAGACGCCGTCCTGATTTATAGTGCTTAATAAATAATGGAAAAACATCCAAGCAGAAGGATGTCGTCGTCGATGAATTTAAAAATAAAGGAAGTACTACGCGAAAAAGTTGTCTCTCGAGTTCTTCTTTTCGCTAATTCAAAGCCGGGCCTTCTTGAAACTACCAGAACGTAGCAACTCCAGGGAAACCATACAGCATAACATTTTAGTGTTATACTTTTAGTTTTATGTTTCTTATACGCTTTGTAAGAATGAACCTTGTGTATTGGTTTTAATTTTTTTCTTTTTGTCATTTGTAGATAGCTAAATACCCTTTTCCTATGCGATAAAAAAAGAAAACTTTAAATTTTATAACGGTTTGAATAAAATCAACGTGCCGGAACGGCGACAGTAATTGTCTGGAGCAACTTACATAATATGTTGTCTAATGCTGACAACTCCAGCCTGCTACCAAAGCAAACGCTGGCAGCAGCTTGTTCAGTTTTGTTATCAACTACGGAAATAAATTAACTTTGCAAATAGGAAGTTGAGGTTGTGTTAGTAGTGAGATCCATTTGTACACCGCTGGGTTTGAACATAAGTATATTGTACATATTTTAATGTTTACCGTGAACAGAAAACACATTGTTAAGCGTTTTAAAAGGCTTTTTAAAAGTCATTTACTCTAAAACGTTCCGTTGACATTTTGTGGATTGCTGGGAAGTGTTGGGATGGATTCGTAGATTACAGTTTTGATTCGCTTCATAAAAAATGGTGAACAAAGTTGTCCGAAAATTCAGTTGCCATCTACAGGCGCTCGTTTTCGTACGAGAATGGCTTGAGATCGCCCGTTTCTACATTTGGGCTTTAATCTTTATTGTTCAACAGTTCGTCAATACAAGAGGTTTAAAAATACAAGATTCGACCGCTGGCGATTGCTTCAAAGAGACACACTTGGAGGTATTAAGCATAAGCAACTTAAAACAAAAGACAAGGCGTTAATCGGTTTTGTAATTAAGCCATAACAAAGGCTTCTGTGGCGAGGGGCCTAAAATAATGCAAAAACAACCTAATGCAGACAAATATTCGGAGCCTTATCGCAGCAATGCCTCAAAATAAGCGATACCATTATTTTCCTAAAGTTTGGGTTGCGTGTCTTTCTGTTATTCATCCCTCATTCCGTTTTGTTTTTAGCCATTTTAGTTATGATTCCTTCTTGTTATTTCTTATATTTGATCTAGAATGACTTGAAAAGGTATTTTATTCCTGATGTAGAAGTTTATTCTCCTGAATAAATAATATCCGTGATCTCCTCTACCAGAACTATTTCCAAATAACCAGTTGATGAGCAGCTGCAAGAAGCAGGAGTCAGTTTACATGAGAGGTTCCAATGTAAGTTTCCATTACTTTACACATCCGTTGTCATTTGGTCGGTTAAACCTCTTCGTTTTAGACGTTGTCAATCTGTTAAAAATTTTTAATGTAAATTTTGGGCTGCCTTGTTAACTTTAGTTAAGCCCATACGTACTTCCCCTCGATGATACATACTCAAAAGAATGGTCAAATGGACCTGTAGGGTTAAAATTAGCTGAAAGATTCACCGGATCACAAAACAGGGATATCTAATTCATCCGACGTAAAATCTATTGAGCTAGACATTATACAAGGGCGTTAAGATCGCTGCGCCAAACCGATTTCACTCAATAAGTTTCTAGCTAATGTACAGTTTTTTTTTTCTGTTTTACCACTTAACTGCTTAGTCAATGGAAAAGTTCTCAGCAATATAGTGATGATTTTCACATGCCTTTTTGATTGGCTGAGAAGTTATGGACATCAACCAAAAGATGAGAAAAAGGTGTCACAGACTAATCAATCAGCTTACAGTCAGGTGATAGAACTGAGTACCCTACCATGGTCGGGAAAAACAATGCAGATTGTTAACAGCTCCGAAAAGAAGACGTGATGTATTTTCAAATAGTAGTTTAGGCTCACAGAAAAAATTAATGACGTTTTTAATTTGATATGCAAGTCAATATGGCATAATAAAATCTTAAATTGTAGGTTTTAAAATAATCTGCGGTTTTCAACTTGCCCAAGAAGATCCCTCGAAAGAATAACTCTGCGAATTAAGTTAACGAACATAACAAGTATTATCTGTCATTCAGATCAGTATGCATGAAGTAAATGTGGGCACTCGATTCATTATTTCAATGTTCTATCAATGTTGTCAAACTTCTCTGGCTAAAATGCAGAATTTCTCGCCTCCTGGTTCCTTCTATGACGTCAGAATGACAACAAGCGTGGGTGTGCATGCCTTGTTGTAAATTAAAACACGCAAAGTGTGTGGTTTTTAATTGGGTTCTTGGCTTATCGCGTGCACTTCACATTACAGAAAATTAAACCGAACTGAAGACTCATTCCGTCTAGTGAATATTTTAAGACGATAAAGATAATTCCCCGCATGAGCTACATTCGTGACCACGCGAAGAATGTTGATAAAATGGAGAATTTAAAATTACACAGAAGGATCCGGTAACAGGCCAGGAAACAAGCTCAGCGCTTTTAATTTGTTCTTCACCGTGGATGGAACGGAAAAAGACACCATAAATAATACACGGGATAAAACTCCACCAGGAAAGACAGTTTTCCTTGAAATACGTTAGCTGCTGAGAAAATATTTTTTTAAAAGAAGTAAAAGAAAATAGACAGTCTACCATATGAATATTTATCTAAATCAGTCAGTTTTACCAAAGTTATCGTTTGAGATACACAACAGCAAATTTACGCTCGTTATCAGTATCCTGTAGCTTATAAAAATGGTCAGCTTGTGAGCTGATGTGAACCTGCCGCTAAATTATCAAATGAAAAACATCAGAGGTAACGAGTTTCCGAAGTGATCCTTTCTGCTACTTTCGAGAAGTTCTTTTCCTCGTTGCTTGTTTTACTGAATTATTGTTCGAGATGATACGAATTAACAACGAAACAAGAAAAAGCGAGCTTTATCAACAATAATATTTGATGAAAAATGATGGCATGTGAAACCTCTAGTGGCTAAAAGGACAGCCAGGTTTCTATGCAAACATTAACATCATAACCTCCCAGTCCTGATATTTTGATCCAGCATTATCCAACACCTGTGGATAAAAATGCTGGAATCTTTTGATCATCTTGTTTAGACAGTGTTGGAAGAAAGTCAAAATTTCTTCCAATAATTTCCCACAATGTAAATTAAAAACAGTGAGAAACATTACCATACATTTACTTGCAACATCGTTAACTCCGTTTTACCACGATTTAACATACTACCACAAAGTCCATCTATCCGTGATGGATAGTGTCATTAAAATGATAATAACTTACCATCAGTATTGACCACACAAGAGACTAGTGCTTTTCATGTGTTCTGATTGGGAGGTGATTACTAAAGTACTATTCACCTCCACTTCGGTGAGTAATTGTAAATTATTTCAGTCAAAAGCTGTCAAATAAATCGTGCCAAGAGCGTAATTTAGCGAGAAATTTAAAGATTTTGTTGATGAATTGACAACATAATAAAAGTTAAACATGTAGACGATACCTGATTCATAGTTTGATGCTTGAGGAAAGTTTTTCTTCAACTCTGTCTGAGTCAGTATTCTATAACTAAAAAGTTAAGACGGTTAAAAACTGATGCAGCATAAAATACTCATTGGCTTCTAATCCGGGAGCCATTAATTAGAATTAATTGGACTCCTTCCGTAGCCATTAAGCTCAAATAATCCAATCTCGGATCCAGTCCCCCGACCACTTCCCGTCTCTGACAATTCGTGGTTTTGCGATCCAATAAATACAATCAAGAGAAAATATACAATTCAGTAGAGTTCACCGTATTCACTTTCGGTTTCACGGTCAGGTTGCTTTTCGTGAAGATGTTTTACGAGACCAAAATGAACATTAAAACTCCCTATTTAGTTCTTAAGCTTACTTACTCAGGTTAAGCTTACTTTATATGCGGCAGAATTTATGAAAATGCACCTGGTTTATCGTGGCATATTACCTACAATGAGCATATAAATGTTTATTAATAAAACGTGTTCAATATATGTATAAAAAAGATTCTACTTTAAAAGGTTATGCGCCTTTTTATTTCACGATAAGCTTATTTATTTTGCCGACCTTCAGTTCTTTGCAGTATAACTGACTCCTCGACTGTGGATCGATGCGCGCACGTGGTTCCCGCCAGTAAATACATGCGCAAAATTCTTCTTCAAACTTCCCGGTCAGTTTACGTTGCTGCACAATAAAAATTCAAAACAACAACAGCTGAAATTCTCTTGGTAACGAAGAAGGAATCTCATGCAGAGATCAAATCAATTGAAGATCTGCTTCAGTTCACGTTGAAGTTTTAACCTATCTAAGCTTTCCATTCTGCTCAAGAAGAAAGTGTTCATTGAAAAGCTCATTGCTTACCACTTTATCCTCAAATGTGTCTTGGTGCTTCCAAAGGACTACGTAATAATGCAAAACTAGATTAAAAACTGTTGGGAAATTAGGCAAGCATTTGTTTGTTTGTCAGCGGCACTACCGAGTCCTGGCGGCCGGCAGGCTAGTTTTCGCGCCTTTTTTGAGTGAGTTGACGCAACCTGGAGCGAGATAGGGACAGTAGATTGATAGTTTTCAGTCCAGAACGTGCGCACGTTTTTCCTTCTCCCAAAGTTAACGAAGACGTTACCGGTTCTAGCTCATAGTACTCATAGAAAGGACAGACTTAGCATGATTTACACTTTATAGGGTAAAAGAAAATCAAACTGGAACTTTTCTCTTTAAACTCCCTGCCCCTAAACTTTTTTTTTGTTTTTGGCAGAAGTTCAATCATGACGATTTCAAAACAAGAAAGCAATTGCTCTGAGGCAACACTATGCCTCTAAAATCATTTGTCCAACACATGTGCTTTTATTCTGCGGAAATCTGTTAATAACTGAGCAAAAAAATTCGAAAGTCCACCCCATTTCTTTTATGTATCTTAGCTGAGTTTGATCATCCTTAGTAAGTCCCTAAGGCGGTCAAAGTTTTAACTCTTATAAACTACCCAATATTTTAATTGGCAAATTGCATCTCTGTCACACAATTTAGACTATCAACTAAAAAAAAATTAATACTGTTTCCTGATAACTGTCAAAGAACCCATTGTTCTTTTGTAATCCCCTCTTTAAAGGTCCAAAAAAAAAACTGAGTGACTGAATCAATAGGGGTACACTGACTAGTTTATTAAACAACAGCTTTGTAAATAGTTCACAGATGACTTACGCCACTAGGTATATTAGTGAAAAATGTTCAAAAACCACCTACTTATTGGCTTAGCCTGTTTACAAACACAGATAACACAGGACTCTTCTGGCGCTGAATAAATAGTATCTCACTGATCAGTCTCAAAATACTTTTGTTTCTCCACTGCAGCTGGTGTATATCTTAGTATTTGTCTCATTATGTCTTGTCTGTAACTTTAGGATTTCTCTCATCAAATTCAGATAAACCTATCACAAGCTATACTCTCCATATCTGAAACATGTATAGTTGATGTCACGTCTTTTAACAATACCCCATTGAAAATATAAGCATGGATATATCTAGACGCTAAAAAAAACACGTAAAAAATTGTATTTTTTTTGCGAAATACGGCATCTCATAGCTCCTGCAGCACAATGATACGAAAACATTCAAAGCTATTTCAAGATCGCAAGAAACCTGGTTTGGTAAAAGAGCAAAAGGAATCAGTACAGATAATCACGCTGTTTATTCATGAATATTTGATCTTATAGCTAGCATGGTAATTTAAGTTAGTAATAAATAGCTCATGGCGGTTACTTTATAGTTGAAGTAAGATGTATCAGCACGTTTACTATCTACAGCTACAGGTCATGCAAGAGTACTGCCGAACTGTTTATCTTTGGATCAGCCAAATCAGATTATTTTCACCCTTTCAATTTTTAGGAGTGATCAAAAGTTAATGTCTTCTCACGAAATTGATCAGCACTGTGCAGCATATTGCACATTCAGATTCTCAGGTGACCAGTGACAGGAGTAAATAAAATCATCGCATATTGCCTTGCGAGGAAGTTCTCAGTACAAAGTGAAATTAATTTTGCCATAGTAAGGAGAAATTATTTTTTGATCTACCAACTTACAGGTAATGAACTAACTGATTATTTTACTGGGTCGATGGAACTTGTCCGTTGATAACGTGAATGGTGGCAGTTGGAGGAACTGACATTCCGGCTGGACTTGATGGTTCATGCTTCTTTAAGAACTTTATAGCCTGGACTTTCTTTTCTGCTTTTCCTTTAGGGCTCTCAAACACCAGCTACGAAACAACAAAATACACCATTACTAAAATGGACTTAAGCTTATATGAAATATTTACACCTCGAAAAGAATATGATTTTAAGTTTCCAACTGAAGAGACTCTAACACTGTCCCGATATGATCAGAAAGTTCAATTTGAGAACAAATTCCAGATTTTAGTGAAGCTTGCTGCAGTTGCTTCGCGCGCGAATCACAAACAACAAGCTCACCTCTCCAACTCCAGAAACGGCTCCGACATCCGGTACATAATTCCCCTCGGGAATGGCCAGACTAACTATCTGCGCTGCCTGGCCATGTGTGCTAGCAACTGCAATTTCTGTCGGGTTTTCTGCAGGAAATTGGTGGTGGACTTTTGGCACAACGGCGGCGTTCACTGGAACCGCTGCAACTTCGTTCCATGAATGTCCGTGGGGAAACGAATAAGGCGAAGGCTGCAGATAAGAATTCCCCACCACTGCTGTCGTTGTGTAGATTGGCTGAGAAGCTGAATGGGAAGGCTGAGGGTATGGATTTTGGGATTGGTAATGCATCTGTGGAGAATATGCTGGCACTAAAACGAAGTGCGGTTGTTGATTCATGGCGTAATACATGCTTCCATCTGATGTCGAAAATGAATAATAGCTGCCATGGCCTGAGCTCTCATTCACGTCTTGCCGATGATAGTAGTATTTTCCAAAATTTCGCTTGCTCTTTCTACGGACTGCTTTACCAATGTTTAAACTTTTGCCGTCAAATTCAAGGTTATCTTGGTCGCGAACTTTGTCGGCTATTTCTTGTGATTCGAATGTGATGAAAGCATATCCTTTGCTAAACCCGTTGCGATCTCGCACGACTTTGCTCTCCTTGACAGTGCCGAATCTTTCAAAATAAGCTCTCAGCTCGTTTTCAGTAGTTTCTGGGGAAAATCCCTTGACAAAAATTCGCTTTCCAATATCTATGTCACCCATAATGTTGGTTTGAAGAGAGATTAACAGGTACAAATAAAACTTACAGTTGAGCCAACGACGGAAAATAAAGTAAGCGTCAAAAGCGTGCTCAAGGGCGTTTTCTCTCTTTGCATCTTGGGAAATCAAATCACGTGGCATGTCCTGGAGCAAATTGTCAGCTCTCGCTCTCTTCTTGCATTTTTCGAGGCATTCATAAAGAAAACGTATTAACTTGAAGCTGCATTCTGAATAGCAAAGGTGTACCTGGACGTTATTATTCTGGTTGCGTAATCATCAGTCGTGGAGACACAAAGTCTGACATGTTCGCTGCATTTTTTGGTTTGCGTTGTCATTCAAAAGGAGTATTAAATGGGTTTCTATATGCTGCGGTGCGTCTGCTATTCTAAGCTGTCAGCGCAGCACGTGCGGACGAGCAATATGTCAAGCAATGGCATGCAAGATTCCTGACAAGATATTGAGATCCCCCTGGCCGACCTACCCATACGAACTCTGAATCGACTGGATCAGGAAACCGCTGAAACCAAGATTGGATACCAGCAGGTATATTGATAATTTACATTTTGTTTTCGAGTTGTTTCTGTCAATCTAGAGTTGAATACGTCATGACCTGCTTCAATCTCAATCTGTACAATTTTTTAATATCGACTATATGGGCGTTTAATAGTATGTCGCGGTTTTAAACCGTCTAATATTTTGTCTGGGCTTAGTTTTGTTCTTGTGTATCGAATGTAAAAACTGAACTTGCATAATAAATGCTATTCCATTAGTTAGAGCTGGTACATCTTTTTTTGTTGAAGACCATTCCCGAAACCGTGCTAAGACGTGAATACCGCTCAATTGACTTCACGCCAAGGGGCCTGCAAAATGTGTTCAATTTAGAAAACCAACTCTAATAATTCCTGCTGACTGTATGTAAAGATGTTTAAAATAATTTACCTATCTTGTATTCTTACTCGACAAATTAACTTACTAGAATGATCTAAGAAAATTTAATAAGGGAAACATGGTTGTCAAAATACCAAAATAATGTATAAAATGTTTAGTTCCTAAAAAAATTAAGTGTGTGCTAAGAAAGAAGCTGAAGCAACCATGAAATATTAAAGCTAATAAGCATTCATTTTTATCTTTGTGAATTAAAATAAAGGAAGCGCGCGTCACTGAAAAGCTGTTAGATTTCTTGTCATGAGTTTAACCTGCTAGCGAGAGACTATTTCGAATTCTTCTCGATTTGAAGATCAAGTACACGGTCCTAAATATTCTTACATACTTTCACAGGCGATAAGTCGCCAATACTTAAAGGAAAGGATTGTGTGGTGTATATTTACGAAAAATTCTACAATTTGAGCTTCTGTTTAAAGTACAGGAATGTAGCAAAGACATCAAGAGGAAGTTGCGAAGACTGAACTAGCAACGAAGAAACACAAGGATAGAAATGTAAGTATGTGAACCTAATTACCAAAAGGAAGAGAAATAACAATTGTTAAGTATTAGATTGCAATCCACCGCATCTCGTACCACTTCCACTTTGTAGTAAACGAAGACTGCTAGTACCCCTTTTGATACAAACAGATTAAAATTATGGCTCTTCCAGTCTCCTGTTTCAAACTGAATGAATGGTATATTGTTTTTGAATATACATCAGTACAACCCCGTAACGATCGTTCGTTTTTCTTTATATCGTAAATAATTTATTCCTTCTCTCTCTCGTTTTCCCTTCTTTGAACGCCGCTGAATACAAATAGAAAGCGCTCAACTAATCTATCGGCAATTTTTCCTATGATTCACTAGGACGCAAAAAACTCTCGATCTCAAATACATCCTTCTTTAAATTTTTTTAGCGACATCACGCACCAAAGAGTGTTTCTTCTTAGTTAAAGTACACCTCGATAAGCTCCTGAATTACAAACAAAATTCCATAGGAGATTCAGTTGAAATGTACATAACGAGAACGTGTTGTCCACTGATGTGACGAGGTAATGGAGTTCGGATAAACGAGTGAAACAAGTATCATTTCACAGAATATCACTGAAATCACAGGAACAGTTCTTTGTGGCAAACGGCTTCTCTTTTAAATCGTCTTGCAAGGCCAAGTTCGTAAAGCCATTGAAGAAAGTTTTTAATTTTGTGAGGATAAGATCAACGGTGGACACAGGAAATGGATTATTACCCAACCAAAGTAACATAATTGTGATATCCACGAGGAAATCCTTTGATGCAGGTAACAGACTTACAAAAAGAAAATTAGGAACGTACTGTTTCTTATGATCATTTCTTCCTCCTAGTCACTGTTTTTCTCGGCTTTATCAATGCACGTTAATTTAATATACTTCTTCACTGAAGCTTTGTGTGTTGGTTGGTTTTGTTCTAAGGATACGTTCTTGGTTGAGAGCTTTAATGTTAAGTACAGTATGGTTTGAATGGCGATTTAACTGATAATGACGACATTCCTGCAATTGAGCTCATTTTAACCTGAAATGGAAAATGCTAAAATTCGTTGAATATATTTTTTTGGTTATTACTGCAAAATTAAGTATGGGTATCGCAGATCGTAAACATAGTATAATTACAGTAAGGAAAATAACCGTCGGCTTCTGAAGGTTAGTATGACTACGAATATATACCCTAAATAAAACGGAAACACAAGAATAAGGCAGTATCAAAGCAATAAAACTTAATAGCCTTTTTCCCAAAAAAAGATCTCCAGATGTCGTGCTTTTGGATAACTGTAGATTGCAGTTTGCTCCCTCGCTTTCTCGAAGAGTATTTCTGGAGAAATCGTTGAAATAATTGACATAATTGTTATTGCTTGTTATCTACCGTTGTGAGGTGTCCTCGAAAAAGGTTGAGACGAGGTAACATCTTAGGCGTCCAAATTCTTACTCTAGTGTTTTGGTTCAATTTAATTGGGCATAATATAACTTGTACGCTATTCAAATTATACTAATATGGCGAATAACCGAATTTACTTCTCTGTTTTATTCAATTTAGTCACCTCAGTTTCTCTGTCACCACTCGCGGAACCTTAGTTTGCCAGACCGACTGCAATTATAAAATACAAGTTACTTTATAATGTTGGCCTTTCTGCTGAAAATGCTTAATTATGCTGAAGAGCTTCAGTTCCAAAACTGATAAGGTATGCTCTTGATCGGTATGTTGTTGATCCCCCTGGCAACCATTGTTGGTTCAACGTTTTGAGAAAACACACAGTTGTTTAACAAAATGTTTAGAAGAAAAAGGACATGGTTTGAAATCATTTTACAACACTATCTGCGGTTTTCTGGCGTTCGTTAGTCAATTTCCTACAGACACGGTACTATTTTCATGATATCTGCCAGCCGTTTTTGCATATTCACCTAAAATCACCGATACTTATAAACATGGCACACTAAAGCTATCACGTTTATTATTTTTATTCACTAGCATCATGGAATTTCACAAAATGGAATCTTGCGGAGATGAACATTTCGTACTAGAAT